ATTTTGTGTAACTTTAATCTAAGGTCAAGTTTGGCAACTCAAAAATAATTTATCTTTTTATCTTTTTTCCATCACATCACCTCCCTATTTTTCCGCATATCTTTTCGTAAAAAGATAAAAAATACACTTATTTAGGTCATCCCAAACAATCCCTAAGAGTAATATTATAAACTCATTCTTATCAACTCAAAAATTACTTAAAAATTAATTTCTAGCACACCTCACATGAATTTTACACTATACAAATTAATCTTTACTACACAATCATTCATGTAGAAAATTCTGGGTGGATAAATTTGGGTTTCTAGACTTTTTTTTTTTTGATCGGCAAAAAAGAAACTTTATTGATGGAATAAAAGTACAAGTTAATAGGCACATTACATCAATAAAGGGAATGAGAGTGCGCTGCATCACAATGGGCTAATTGATCCCAACTAGGTTGGCACCAAAGGCTCATCTTATCATTTGCTAGCACCCTCAGAGTTGGTAAGAGACCAACAAAAAGACAACACAAAACAAACACCAAACAGCTATACAGATTGCAAATTTGATCCAGCTTGCATATTAGATCCAAACCAAACATAGAAATCCAGCATATTTGATCCAGATTGCAGACCCAAACCAAACAGACTTGCAGCCTTAACAAACACACAAGCTTCAGGGCACCATCTAATCACAGCTAATCAACAGACCAGATCCAGCTTAACTAGTGACAATAGCCACCAGACCATATAAACAGAGCATGCAGGCAGCATACAGAGCAGACCATCAGCTGCACCTAAATTGTCCCCAATTGAACCTCAGCATTGACCCTCTGATGCAGGCCAGCTGATTTGATCCAGACTAGTCCACCTCCATGACTGAAGCAATACTTCACCATGAACACCACCTGTAGAACACAATGCACAAAACTGCAGTTGCTACACACACTTGCTACAGGATATCAGTAAGACAACAAAACTGTTAAGGCTCACTTAATAGTCCTATAAGGCACCAAATTGTCCTCAATTGAACCTCAAGCAATGAACCTCCGATGCAGGTCAGCAGATTTGATCCAGGCTGGTCCACCTCCATGACTGAAGCAAAACTTCACCATGAAGACCACCAGCAGAACACAATGCACAAAACTGCAGCTGCCACACACACTCATCTAACCCCAAGCAGACACCCAAATCACAGCTGAGGAAAAGATCAGCAACCTTGAGACAAGACCAACCAGATCATCATGCAAGCAGTGAACCTCAGAGTCCAGCCATCAGAATTCACCCTTCCCCTCCACCATATACTAACCATTTCCAAGCCGAATCTCCTGAATGTTGCAGATAATCTGCTGCACTGAGTAACAACAATCCTGGATGTAAAATTTGGCCCACAATGCAATCCTTGTTTTGATTAATTCACATAGCTCCTCCAAGTGCATTTGTCTTTCACAAAAAACTTTCTCATTCCTGAATTTGCATGACGACCACAATACCGCAAATGGTATAATTCGCCAGATCATATTCAGATTACTTCTCCACTTGAAGCCCCTCCACCAATTAAGAATCTCTTCCACTGTTTGTGGGATTACCCAAGTCAATCCCCACCACTGCATCAGATCACACCAAATTCTCCAAGCAAACGGGTACCATATAAGGAGATGAAATACGGATTCAAGCCCTTCATTACATAACACACACATAGCTGAGGCTTCTGGCCCCAACACACCAATCCTCTGTAGAAAACCAGCTATTTTTAATCTCCCCTTCCACGCTAGCCAAACTAGACTTTACCTAATTCTAATGTTTAAATTTTATCAATTTTATCCCTCACACTTTAAAGTTATTCTTCTTCTCATCATTTGTCTTTAGGGTAGTAATGTCACAAATTTCATAGTTACAAATGGATAAATTACACTCACCTCCTCTAATATTTAAAGAAAATACCGATAGTTTCTACTTTTGAAATTGTCTGGGACAAATATCAACCTATGTGAAGTAGGCCCACCTATGCTTACATGAAATTAGAATTAAAAAATTAAATTACTAATTAGTAATGCAATTTACCCACTTGCCAAGTTGTTCTAATATGTGTACATTTGGATGAGTTTTCTTCCAAATGTGACTTAGGCCTCGTTTGGGAACAGGTTAATTTAGTAATTTTTTGGCTATTTGGCTAAAATATGAGCTAAAAAAAGCTAGTATGTTTGGGATGACTTTTTAGATTTTTACGAAAAGATGTGCAAAAAGTAGAGAGAAAAGAGAATCTTTGACTTTTTGGTATGAGTTGTTGGCTTTTTGGCTAATTTAGTAACTCTTTGACTTTTTGTTATGAGTTGTTGGCTTTTTGGCTAAAAAGGAGGGTTCCCAAACGAGGCCTTATGCTCATTTAATAAAATAGGTGGCTTTCATTAGGTGAAACAAGTAGCATATTAACCCATATAAAGACATGTAGTTTTCATTAGAAGGGAGGCAACCCCTATTCGATACATTTATTTGTATAGTCTTATTTATATTTTTACTCCCTATCTAAATTGATAGTTAGAGTGCCCTCTGATTGAAAACCGCCGGTCAGGTGGCACTACCAATTTATTCATTTGCAGACCCAGAACAATGTGATTTGCCTCTCCTTTAAATCTCTCGATTAATTAGTTTGAGGCAAAAATACTCTCCACATATGTAATTTATATCATATAATTACATCAGCCTCTTTCAATATTTTAATTTATATAACACTTTAATCATTATAATTGAAAAGATGACATTATCATTTATTTTCTACTAAAATGTATATTTACCATTTTTATCTTATATGTTTACCCATTATATGCATTAGTTTTAATTACTTTAACCTTACCAAATGGAAGTTAGTGTAATCATACTAAACTTATGAGATTAAATATATTTTTCTCAAATCTGAAGAAATATAAGTGTAATTTACCCTTATAAATTATATATGTATTTCACTATAATTCTTATAATGATTTGATTTTTTACTTAAAATAAATATTTTATAGACAAAATTGATTTATTTAAAAAAAAAAAAAAACCGTAAACACACATTTTAATGGTGCATGTGAAATGCACTTAAAATTTCAATTATAATGATTTATAATTTTCGTCAATTTGAGTTATAACCAAAATCAATTAGTTGGTTACAAAAACACGACAAGATCTCATAAACAAAGCCACTTTGATTAGGGTAAGGTTAGTGGACTACTGGAGGTAGATGTTCGGCCTTGTGAATATCATTACAAGACTCATTTTGACGATCTAAATTATTGATTTTATTAGGTTCTATGTGTACGTTATTCACACAAAAAAAATCTTATTGATTCAATAATCAATAGTTATATGCTTTTATTATAGTCCTATTCAAAAAATGAATGATAATTATAATTTTAAAAATAGACTATTTATATTTTTTTAAGGCAAATATAATAAAATTATATAGTTATGATTATTTGATCAAAAAAAATTTTTTTTGGGGCAAATTATACCTATGGTCTTGACATTTTACAGTATAAAAGGAAAGATTGTTACATGTTTTACGTTTTTTCATTTTTTTTTTAAAATCGAAAGTTCATTATACTTACTATTAGATGATATAATAAAACCTATCTATTACAAATTGCAATCCCTAAGATTGTGTTTGGAGTATGGATTTGAGTAATAATTCAAAAAGAAAAATAAAAAAGATAGATGAAATGTGAATGAAATATAACTACAGTTCACATATATTCCACACATTTTTTTTCGGTTTTCATTTTCAAATCATTATCCAAATTCATATTTCAAACATGGCCTAAAGGACCTCATAAGTGAACACCACATAATTCATAACTAAAATCACACATTTTTATAACTATGATATATATGGTACACACATTTTAAAAGGAATATACTTTCCAATTTTTTATTGTAAAAAACAAAAAATTATGCATAGTTAGGAGTGTAAAAATGGCTCCCAGCCCGTGGGCGGCCTGAGGTGGGCCCGACCTATTTAGACCCTTTTGGGCCTGGGCCCAAGCACCTATACTTGGGCTTGAGCCATCATTTTGAAGCTTGTCTCGGCATATGGCCCAGCCCATTGGCCCGCTTAAGGCCTACTCAAGGCCTAGCCCAAGGGCCGGCCCGCTCGAGGCCTAGTGTTTTTTTTAGTGAAAAATAATAAAATTTTGATAGAAATAATTTAAAAAAACAAAAAAAAAAGAGTCAGGTCCGGCCCACTGGTCTGCTCAAGGCCTGAATATTCCTGAGCTTAGGCTTTGGCTTGGGCTTCGGCCTGGGCCTAATTTTTTGGCCCGTAAGTCGGCCCGGCTCGGCCTGAATTTTGTCAGGAGCCCGCGAGGCCCAATATGGGCTAGGCTGGGCCAGATTTACACCCCTATGCATAGTGCGTACCAATTACAAACCATTATGACTCATGCTATTTCCCCATCAAGTAATGTTACAAATTTAGAAAAATTTACTTAGAAATTACTTAAAAACATTAACTGTGTGGTTTAGATTAATTCTGCTGCACATGAACCTCACAATACACACTTTTTAATCTCCGCCACATGCTCTGTTGTTGATCAAAATTTGGGACAGTAAGGCCTTGTTTGGCATTTTTTTAAAAAGTCAAAAAGTCAAAAAGTCACCATCTTATTTAAGTCACATCATTTTATTTAAATCACATCACCTCTCTACCATATCATTTCAAACTCAATCCATATTTCATAAAAATTCAAAAAGTACATTTATTTAAAATATTCCAAACAACCCCTAAATCTAGATTCCTAAATTTACTTGTTTTCTATCACCTAACACAGATTCGTAAGCGACACACTCTTCGCCAATCAGCCAAGCTATGTGGCACCACATGATCGTGCTGTTGCAGCACCAAATAATTGCTCATAAAAAAAAATTGGACACCTTGTGATGTGTAAATGATATGTAAAGGTGTACTATATGTCGTGCAACTTTCCACAACTTAACGAACCGGACGACCTGGACCTGACTCTCTCTCTCTCGCTCTCTCCGTTCCTTTTTAGGCGTTATAAATACTCTCTCTTCTCATTTACATGAAAAATATTAGACTGCTTGAGCCAGGAAATACATATCAAGAATAGTTGGATATAAAAAAACTGGTTAGTTGCTCTTGATAGGCATATATATATATATAGATAGATAGTATAATTAATGAGATATGGATTCAAGTTATGTAGTAGACACGTCTCTCAGCATCAATCTCAATGTTAACCCACTTCCACTACACGAGGACAAGACTCATTCTTTTCCCAGTTTGAAGCACACGGGAGGGTTTGATGGAGATTTTGTTCATTTTGACACCAAATTACCTATGAAACAAGAGGTACGTTTTGCTGTCTCTCTCCCTCTCTCTCTCTCTCCTTTGCTTTTTTAATTTCTGTGTAATGTTTGGATCTTGATGCATGGTTGGGCAGTTGTTTTCCGGGGTTAGTCTTGGGAGGTTTGCTTTGGATTTCTCCCCTTATTCGTGGTCGTAATTGGGTTTTAAAAACGCTAGAAAATACGAAAATTAAATCAAATTTCCTCCTTCTTGGTACGCCTTTAAACATATCGTTAAAATTTTCACCAGAAAAAGAACGACTTTAGGATAAATTATACTGATTACCTTTGAAATTTGAAAATAAATATATAAATTTTTATGATTTTGACATAATTATGTTATGCTTTTTTAAAATTTTAATTTACATAACACTTTATCTCTTTTTAATAATAATTTATTAATTATATGAATTAAAAAAAATAATATTGTCATATATTTATATTGAAATATATGTATTTTTATTTGGGCAAATTACAAACACCCTCTCGAGGTTTGGTAAAAATAAAAATTTCCCTCCTGAGATTTGAGAAATTACAAATTGTCCCCTGAGGGTCAAATTTTCATAACAAATTAGGAGAAATTAGGGAGGAATCTGTATGAAAATAAAAACCTCAGGGGGTAATTTGTTATGAAAATATAAATCTCGGGGAGCGGGATGTAATTTCTCAAACTTCAGGAATGAATCTGTATTTTCACCAAACCTCGAGGGGTGTTTGTAATTTGTCCTTTTTATTTTTATTTTTGTTTATTCACATACTATTTTATTAGTTTTGGTGTATTTAGATTTATTAAAAAGAAATAATATAATTATGTCAAAATTATAGTATCTTAATAAATAAAAACAAAAAATAAATTATGAATAAATTTTCCTTAAAAGTTTGAATACATAATATTAGTGCAAAAAGAAAGGGAAAAATTACATTTTAGTGGAGTAGGGACAAAAAAATTACGTTTTCAAGATGGTGCAATTTTATTGTGTATATAGTGCAAATTTATTCTTATGTTTGGTATAATTTTTTCTGTGTATCATAATTACATAAAAAAATATCATTTATAATACAATTATTTTGTATAATTTATAAAACAATTATTTCGTAATTGTCTCTTATATTTATAATTTTCCCAAAAGAAGGTCGTTGTGTTGCGTTTCGTTTACTTTTGAAGATAGTAGGTAGTCTTGTCTGAAAATGACTTTTTGGCCGCATAGAATGACATGTTTACGCGTTTTTTTAGTACACAGCTTTTGATTTTGTCATTTTCTATGCGCACTATTAATTTGAAGTGGTATTTAGCTTTTGATTTTGTCATTTTCTTTGAACTAATTTGAAGTGATATTTAGGGGTGATTTCACATCTTTAAAAAAAGTGAAAAAAAAAAATAAAAATTACTATTTTATTTAAATTATATCATTTTATTTAAGTCGTATCATTTTTTTAACACATCACTTCAAATCTAATTTAAATTTAACTCATATTTCATAAAAATTTAAAAAGTACATTTATTTAGATCATTCCAAATAACCCTTAATCATAATTTTGAATTTTTAAAAATATATATTTTTTTTAATTTTTAATTTTTTTTTTCATTGACCATCTTAATTTCAAATAGCGTTTGAAGTTAGTAACGGTTTGTTTAGGATATAGGTTAGTGTTTTGGTTTTTTAATTTTTTTTTTGATTATTTTAATTTAAGGTTAAAAAGTTTGTTTGGAATAAATTTTTTGATTTTTGTGAAAGAAAAAAATAAAATGATTATAGTTTGAATGTGACATTTGTCTCATTAGATTAAAAACTTTATTTTGTCTTTGTGTGGTTGTTTAGTAAAAAAAAAAATCTCACTTTAACTTATGCCAAACAAAGATTTAGGCCAAGTTTGGCTAACCTAAAAAAGTGCACTTATTTCATTTTTTTATATTTTTTGGGTCACATCAATCAACATTTCCTCTCTACTTTTTCCACACATAATACAAAAAAAGTCAAAAAGTACACTTATTTAGTCTTCCCAAACTTGGCCTAGTTCATTTTAGATCGGTTTTGGTAATCGGAAAAGTATATTTTTACGAGCTCATTGAGTATAATATTAATGTAAAAAATCAAAATGATCGAATAATAGTAATTATATATTTGAATAAAATTTATATTACAAAAAATAGATTGACATTTTTAAGATTATATTTGTCGTTCAATTTTTTTAAATAAATATAATTCAAATATATAGTTCCTAATATCTAATCATCTTGATTTTTTATATTAATATTCTACTCAACAAGTTTTAAATAGTGAACGGTTCAAATAACAGAAATCAGTTCTAAAATGGGTCTGCCAAACTCAAATGCTAAACTGTTTTATTTTTTTGTAATTTTTTAATAATTTAATCATCTTTTTAATTTTTTAGATCCACTTAATAAAACAAAAAATAAAAATATATTGAAATTTAGTATTTTTTGTATTTAGTATTTTTAAAAAATATTTTTTCATAAATTTTATACCTTTTAAATGTATCAAGACTAAGTAGATCTAAAAAGTAAAAACTAATGATTTAAATGAAAAACTTCCACTAAAAAAAAATATATGAATTAAAAAAAAATATTTTTAAAAATTCTAAACCAAACAAATTTATTGGAACTTACCTTCACACTCTTAACAATATTTTTCTTCCAAGATAATGTTATGTGATGCCTAGAAGCACTTTCTAAGGATTCGTTTGTTAACGGGTTTTATTTATTTATTTATTTTTATTTTTTTAAATTAAAAACAAAATTTTGTTTGATATATTATTTATGTTTTCAAAAAAAAAAAAAAATTTGAATTAAATTAAAAAATTTTGAAAACGTAAAAAAGCTGTTTTATCTAATTTTTTGAAACAAGTGTTCACTTCCACCTTTCTCCTCCACCACTTCTGGCAGCCACCACCACCTCCACCACCACTTCCGGCCACGGCCACGGCCACGGCCACCACCTGCACCTCCACCTCCACTGGCCAACTGACGTTGATCTCCAACACTTTAAAGTGATTCTTTGACCACCAACTAGTCATTACCATAACCTCAGGCCACCTTGTGACCCATGACCTCACGCCCACACTGATGATTATCACATCCATCCATTCTCCATCGTCGGCCACCACTTCTAACAATATGCCAAACATGTTTTTCTATTTTCATTTTTGTTTATTTTTTTAACATTTTTATATCCCAAACAAGTTATCTATTTTTTAAAAACACAAAAACAAGAAACTAACAATATTTTTGTAGCAATTATTTTATTTTATTTTTATACTCTTACTCAAGGATGATTTTGAAAAAACTTGAAAAAATTATGCCATATTATATCAAAGGGCAAAAATTTATTTTATTTCCTTTTGATTTGAGCGCAAAACACTTTACTCCTATATAGTTCAAATATAGTATATATATATAAAAAAAAAAAAAAAAATTCTCTCTATGGTTTTGAACCAAAGTGCAATCATTAACGCCATTAATCATAAATGTGAAATCTATACTATATATTAAGTAAAATGAGGTTTTTAGCCCCAAACTTTGTGGGAGTTCCAATCTCCCAATCTAAATTTTTTGATTTAAAAAAAAAATCTTAGCATTTATTAACTTCTCCCAACTTCCAAGTCTTACCCTCATAATAACACTTTAATGTATTAAGAACAAACATAAAAAAAATTCTTTGAAATCCAACACATACGAATTCCTTGAAAAGTCCCAACACATATGATTATTATCCCTCATAATAACACTCTAATGCATTAAGAACAAGCATAAAAAAAATTTCTTGAAAAGTCCAACACATATGATTATTATCAAAATATTAAATTTTAATATAATATAATTAAAAAAAAAGACATTTAATTCTTTGAAAAGTCCAACACGTATGATTATTATCAAAATATTAAACTTTAATATAATATAAAAAAGGAAAAAAAGAAGACATTTAAAAAAAAAATATTTAAAAATCACAATTCACATATATAGATAATTGTAAACACAATCCGTGCATAGCACAGGTAATATGCTAGTGACTATAATACTCTAAAGTTCTATGTCCTTTTGTTATTTTTTTCTTTCTTCTCTCATAATCCTAATTCGTAAAATTAGATCAAAATTAATCATAAATCCTTAATTATTTATTATAATTTCTAAATAGTTAATACAATTCTCAATCCTTAATTATTTATTGTAATTACTAATTTTTTAATCTAATTTTAATTTAATTATATTTTAGATCAATCCTTAATTAGTGTTTATTTTATATTTTAGAACAATATTTAATTATATTTCATATTTTAAATCAATTCTTAATTATATTGTAATGGGAGCTCAAGTCATATACTTAATTTTCAGACTTATTTGGCAATACCTACAGGTGTTTAAGTATTAAGGCCATAAGGACGTGCATTTTTTGTTAGATAGATTTACCGTTGTATCTATTTTGTGTTAAACAATTTAACATCTCATAACTTGAGTTTTACAAGTCTGTTTTTAATAAAATTGATTTTTTTTTAAAAAAAAGAATAATATGAATATAATTTTTTTATTATAAAAAAAAGTGAATAAAATGATTTTTCAGGCAATCAAAACAAAAACTAACATTTTTAGAGAAAGGAAGCATTTGAAACCAAGTTTAGATGGATAGATCTCGAAAAAACACATGAAATCAAAAAATAATTTGTCCAAAACGCACTATCGAGCGTAAAGTTATGATAAGTTGAAATTTAACATCATAAACAATTGTTTTTAGAGGTTAAGGTACGGGAAATTCTATTTCCACACACTTGATTAACTCAGTGTACATTTTTTCTCTAAATTTTTTAATTACATTTCTATCCTTCAATCAAATTACCAACACACCCCTCCCTTTCTCCCTCCCTCCGTCCCTCCCTCTCAACTTAACCCTAACCTTTGCCATTGCCAACCACCGGCAGTCCCCTCCCTCCCTTCCGATCATTACCACTCATAGACGTCTGTATACTATGCAAAATCTTCATATCATTTTAATTGTCAATGTCAAAATTTCAAATAGGCGCATAGTATAGCCATTAAACTTCCACAAAATATTTAAAGGAAAAAAAATATTAATTTGCTACAGAGCCTTCAATTATTAACTTCAATTTTCGTAATTAAAATTGTAAAACTGTCACTTTTAAACAATCATCCTAAAAATTGTGCAAAACAATCATAAAATTTCAGGTAAAGAAGAGGGTGAGGCTCAAATTTGCTATGATATCAGGCTGATAATGGAGTTAAACTCCACCATGGCTGCAACAATGGTTGCTTAGTGAGAGAGAGAAAACCAGATCTAGTCTCTCTCTCTCCCTTATTCTCTCTCTCAATGGCCTTCTGGGTTGCCCTGCCATGAAACAGATCCAAATCTCAAGGCTTGATTTGAAAACATAGAAAAAGCTATCACCACAGCCTTTTACAAAGAGGATAGTATAGTTGGTTGTTATGGGATTGATGATGATGATGATGATGATGTAGTAGAAGGGTTGAATCACTCTAGAGGATCTGGATTCGATGAACCAAACCGAACCATACCCAACCCAACTCAAAACCAAACAGAGCTATACATATATATATATATATATATATATATATAGATACACGGTATAGAGTACTGAGTACATACATACTCACACACCCAAAGAGTTGTTGAAATTTAGAGATGAAGATGAAATCCTGGGCTTCTTTTTTTGTATTGAACAAATTATAGAGAAGGGCAACCACCTTCAGAAAGTTCCCATCTCTCTGCTTGAAGAAACCTCATTTCATCATCTGGGTTTCAATCTCCTAGAGGAAGAAGCAGTAGCGGGAAGGGAAGAAAGCTAGGGAGGGGCGACAGCCGTGGGAAGTTGAGAGAGGCTGAGAAGGGAACGGCACCGGTGGGAGGCGGTGGTTGCCGGCAATGGTTAGTGCTAGGATTTGTTAGAGAAGATGAGGGCAGTTTAATATTATCTGAAAATTATTGATGTGTATTAAGATAAAATTAAAAGTTTTAATTTGTGTATAGTGTAAACTGAGTAAATGGTGTATACTAAGATAAGTAAGGATCTGTAAATAGAATTACCCTTAAGGTACCTGTATGTCCAAAGTAAGGTACCTATCTGTCCAAATTCAAGTACTTATTTACTCAAGTAGGCCAAAATATTGGCATACATAGATTGAAATAATTTAGACAAATAGGTTCAAATATGGAGACAAATATGTTCAAAAAAATTTGAATAGATATGTAAAAATATTGACATACATGGGTTAAAATAATTTTGATAGATAGGTTAAAAAAATTGGGACATATAAATTAAAATAATTTGGACAAATATGTTGAAATATGGGGACAAATAGGTTCAAAAAATATGCACAAATAAGTAAAAATATTGGCATACATAGGTTAAAAATAATTGGGACAAATAGGTTCAAAAAAATTGTACAGATGGATAAAAAATATTGGCAAACATGTGGTAAAATAATTTTTACAGATACGTTAAAATAATTTGGACAAAAAGGTTCAAATATGGGACAATAGATTCAAAAAATTTGCAGATATGGGTAAAAATATTGCCATGCATAGGTTAAAACAATTTAGACAGATAAGTTAAAATAATTTGAACAGATAACTATCTTAAGGTGTAAAAAAAAATTATGCTATTAAAACTTCAACAGGTCATAAGTTTATACGTAGTACTCTGTTTTGGACGATGTTTTTATTCTTTGTATTTTTTCAAGATTTATCCATCCAAAATTGTTGAAAATAATTTTGAGGGCTTACTTTCTCAAGAAATGTTTTGCTATTTTGATTAGCCAAAAAATCAATCCATTAATTTTTTTTTTAAATTTCATAATCAATATTGATCTGGTTTGAAAAATCTCGAAATTACAAATCTACAAATATCAATTCATTAAAAACCGGTATGCAGAACTCAAGTTATGAGATTTTTAAATATTTTAGCACAAAATACACTTAAGGGGCAAATATTGGAACAAATATATTAAAATTACTGGGACAAATATGTTAAAATAATTTGAAAAGATAAGTTCAATTATGGGGACAAATAGGTTAAAAAAATTTGCAAGGTAAAAGGATTGGCATACCTAGGTTAAAATAATTTGGACAGATAGGCTACAAATATGCGGACAGATAGGTTCAAAAAATTTACGAAAATTTTAGGTTCAAAAAATTTACAAATATTCGTAAAAACTTTCGTATATATGTGGTACAATAATTTGTATAGATATGTTGAAATAATTTAAGAGATATGTTAAAAGAACTTGGACAGATATGTTCAAATATGGGGGGACAAATAGATTCAATACATTTGTCATACATAGGTTAAAATAATTTGAACTTGAACTGTTGGAAGGCCTAAAAAAAAATCGTTTATGGTTTTAAAACTTCAATAGATCAAAATTTTACGCCCGATAGTCCATTATGGATGACTTTTTTTTTATTTTATTTTATGTAATTTTTTCAGATCTATCCATCCAAAATTGTTGAAAGTAATTTTGAGCAATTACTTTCTCAAAAATATTGTTTCGTTATTTTGACTAACCAAAAAATCAATCTATTAATATTTTTTTTTTCTAAAATTTCATATTCAACATTAATTTTGTTTGAAAGCTCTCGGGAAAATAAATTCATAGATATTAATTTTTTTTAAAGCAAATTTGTAGAACTCATGTTATAAGATTTTAAATTTTTTTAGCTCAAAATACACATGAAGGACAAAAATTTGAACAAATAGGTTAAAATTATTGGGACAAAATGTTAAAATAATTTGAACAAATAGATTCAAATATGAGGACAAATAGGTTTAAAAAATCTGTATAGATAGATAAAATATTGACATACATAGGTTAAAATAACTTGCATAGATAGGTTAAAATAACTTGAATAAATAGTTATTTGAGGGTGTAAAAAAAATCGGTGTTAAAACTTCAATAGGTCATAAATTTACACTCGGTAGTCCATTTTGAACTTCTTGATGATTTTGAACTAAAGAGTTACCGTCAATTTTTTTGGTAAAAGTAATTGAAAGTTTGTGACACTCTTCCAAATTGAGAGTGGCAATGTAAAAATCAAAGACCAAAGTAAAAGAAATTGAATCAAATGTCAAAAACACACTAATCATCATCTTCTTTTCCAAATTAAATCATAATCCTAACCAAACGGCAACCTTAAGCCTAAATATCATCTTCTATCAACAATTAATTCAATTATTTTAAAACTTTATTAAATGAAAAGTTAGGTTAACAATTAAAAGTTAGATTAAAGTAATTTTCTAGTAATAAATCAGGGTGTTTAAGTTAATTTATAATTTGATTTGTTAAATATATATATATATATATATGTACATGTTTAATTTAAAATATTATTAAATAATAAATTGGGTTAAAAATTAAAAATTAAATTATGGTACTTTTAGGATTTAATTTTGTAGTAATAAATTAAAGTATTTAGGTCAATTTATTTTAAATTTGATGTATATATAAGAAAAAATATTATTGAGAGGTCTTAACAAATAAGAAAAAACATATTAAACATATACTACATAAAGTTAGAGAGTGATATGTTTCACTAAGAAAAATGCTTTGGACGACCGATTTTGGATCCCTAAACCAACCACAAGTGATGTGTCATAACCTCACTAAAATATAAAAATTATTCAATAAATGTTTGCCATGTAATTAGGGGTTAGTTTTGGAAAACCAAAATTGGTGGGATATAGCATTAATCGTTTCACTAATTTTCCCTAAATTATCCAATACAAGCATGAGCCTAGCAACATAACCGAAACTTAAAGTTGGCTGTCAAGTTTTGAACTACAAATAAATTGAAGTCCCAAAAATCTGCAGGTTGGTGTGATGGTTGAAGAGCTAAAAAGGGTCAGCACTGAGAATAGAAAGTTAACTGAAATGTTAACAGACATTTGCGACAAGTACAATGGTCTACGAAGCTGCTTAATGGAATATTACACTAGCAACAATAATAATAATCTTGGGAAGAGAAATGTTGAAGATGACAGTTTTGGCCATACCATCAAAGTTAACGGAGATAGTGATGAATGTTCATGCAAGAAGCCAAACAAAAGCAACATTACAACTGTTTCGCGAGTTTGTGTAAAGACAGATGCATCTGATAGAAGCCTAGTAAGCATTAACTACTGCCCTATTTGTTTGACAATTTATTTATTTTCATTTAACTTTAAAATGCTTTCCACTTTTATGTCTAAGTTTGACTGCGGAATTAAATTGAATATGATTATAATTACAATAAGATTGAGTAATAAGATTATTATTGTTAGAAATTAAAAATAAGTTATGTTTATTTGTATTAAATGTGCAAATAGAGTGCTCTACTCATAAACCCTACCTCTTTATTTTGGATCTATAAAGCACGGGTATAGATACGAATACTGGTACAATACATATATGTCGATACGGTAAAATAAAAAAAAGTAAGGTACGGATACGGCTATGTATGTTTGTAAAAAAATATTTATTTTTAATTTAGAATAATGTAAAAATTAGTTAAATGATTTAATTTGTTAACATCCAATCTACAATTCATATTTAATGCCAAAAGTAACGGTATAAAAAAAAATTAAATGTCATTATATTAAATAATTTACAAACTATAGCTTCATTTTAGAATTATGCTAAGCATAAATAAGTAAAAAAGAAGTTTAATGAAATTAATTTTATCTTTGTATTATAAAAAAATATTATTTTGACCGAGTTATGGTATAACTTTTGTATATATTAGGCACGTCTGGTTATGTAAAAAATTAAGAATAAAAAATTTGAATACATTTTTGTGTACTCAATTCATATACAGAAATACCATAAAAGATACCAACAATTAATAAGAACCCAATAAGACTACTATATGTTTGTCAAAATACCAATACTTGCCGTTCAACCTATAGTACCCCATTTTCCATCAGCCTCCCTTCCTTGCCGTTCAACCTCTAGTACCCCATTTTCCTTTTTGCACACCGCCACCCAGATCCTCATCATTCTCTTTTCCTTGTGACTGCAACCACTTTCTCTCCTAATTCCGGCAACTGCAGTCGCTTTCTTTTGTAAAACTCTAGTACTAGTCATGTCCACCCTCGCTATGACCCAAATCCTCCTCCTCCAAAACCTACCCCTCTACGAAACCCTCATCATCTTCCTCCTCTATATCCTGTTACCTCCTTACATTCTTCATTTCTCCTCATCTATCTTCTTCTCCCTCATCATGATCTCTCTCTGTCTCTCTCTCTCTTACACACACACTAGTGAAACTGCTGGAGAGTTGGGGTGGTGTGCAGAGGGTAGGGGGTTGCAAGGGTTGCGGGAGGGGCTAAAGGAGGCTGGATGAGGGATGGGACGACGGTGGATGGGTTGTGGAGTGTTGCTGGAGCTGGGGATGGCAAGGAAAGGTTTCTAGCCAGATTTGGTGGCCGTTGGAGTGAGGTTAGGATTAAGGTTAGAATTAAGATTAGAGTGATTAGAATTAGATAAAATTTGAATTTTAAGTCAGAGAGTAAAGTTCTAAAACAAATAATAATAATAATTAAAAAAAAAAATGAATAGGGTGTGTGAGGACTATTTACAACACTTGTGGTGATATTAATTGGTGGAAATTTATGAAATTACGTGAAATCATTATATAAAAAGTGATTTTATTATTTTATAAAGTGCAAGTAAAGTGGTATTTGCATTTCTAATCATATGAGATTGGATTGTGAACCCAAACCTCTCATGGAAGAGCTAGTCCTACCTTTTAGGGGATTAGCAATTCTACGGGACTCGTAGTCTTATGTTATTTTTATCATTGGTTGTTACAAAAATACATTTTAATATTTTTTTAAAATATTAACTTATTTAAAAGTTTAAATTATTAGAGAGATGGATAAATTTATTATTTATATTATATTTTTAACACACCTCATCCCTTGTGGCGGGAACTCTCTTCCATAAGCATGCCAAACATATGTAAATATTTTAATTTTTGGATAGGTTTTGAGATTTGAATACAAGACCTATTGTTTGCTTTAATATCATCATTAATAACAAACTCATCTAAAAGCTTAAATAATTAGAAATTAAAGAATGCTAACTGTATTATTTTTATTATATTTTTAACATAATCGAATCAATATTCTCTACTGTGAACCGATCATACTGATTGTGATTCAATAAGTTATGAACTGACTATAAATGAATATGTATCCCAAATCAATTGATATGCATATTCATCCACACAAATATACAAACTTGAATGGGTATAAAAAAAAAAAATCAATCGATTGATATATTTCAATTGATGTTTAGAATCATTATCACTGAGGTTATGTTTGATTGTCAAATCAAGTTGACTTGTACTATGAGTATGGTAAAATTAAATAACAAGATTAGTATAGTGGTATTAGATTAAAAATGTAAGATTAATTGTATTCGTTTGTGCATTAGCGTGATGGTATTAAGTTGATTATTTATTTATTTTAATTGATAGGACACCCCACCTAACAACTAAGTCCAAGCCCAAGTCCCACTACTAGTGGCATACAACCCTTCTAATGTGGTTTTTTTTTTTTTTTTTTTTTTTTTTTTTTTTTGGGGGGGGGGGGGGGAGGGGGGGAGAGGGGGGGTTTAAACAAACACTACAAATATCAGACTCTTATCCAAATAAGTTGAATCCGTAATCTCACATTACAAGTGATGTTATATAATCACTAAGCCAAAAAACCTGATTGTGTGATGATATTAATTAGTTGAGATTAAATCTATGATATTAAGGGAAAGCCCTCATTATATAAAAAGTCTGTTTTTGGTTAGGTGGGAGCAAACTAATCCTTCCATTTCCAATTCTATGGTATGAGCTAGAAATGCAACATTCTATGAGATAATCCCACCCTTTGAGTGAATTTATATTTTGATGGGACTCTTAATGATGTAGAGGGAGACTGAGATAATAATGATATTAGAGTTCGTTGATTCAAATATAAATACCGGAAGAAAATCTTTTTTTATACTCGTTGATTCAAAAGGAATACTAAGAATAAAGAATCAACAATAGTTGATTTGAAATGAATATCCAACATTGGAAAAGTGAGTGAAAGCTTGGAAGTGTATTAATTTTCTAAACTAATCAACTGTAAATCTTACAATAATTATTTATAACGAAAAGGAAACCTAACGAACTAAGAAATAATCAAAATTGGTAGTTCCCTGACTAAAAAAGAAAAAAAATAAGGAAATACAACAACATCGGCAGTTCCCTAATCAAAATGACATTTTCTATCAACTTACCAAATTTCACTTGATTCTAAGCACCAGTTGCTTGATTCCTACTAGTCCCTTTTACCTTGTTTGGCCACATGCCTATCCATTTAGTTTAAGAATTATATTACCAAATACATTGTGTCAAATAATCTCATACAATTCATCACAATTAAGCATGATTTGTATAGGACATTACTAATACAATCTCCCTAACCCCAAACAAGCAATCAAACATGGAATGAAGGATGACAAAAGATTCTACACTTCCTCAGTGCATGAGTTATATATATATGATTCACAAATGTAATAGTGACAATCTTAAAAATAAAATTTATTTTTAAAATAATAAGATTAAGATTGTAACATCATTCTGAATATTCTGCATAAATTTTATGTTTGAATAACTTACATTCCAAGTACTAATTTACCATATATTTCCTTGGATTACGTCATAGTTGCTAAAGGATGGATATCAATGGAGAAAGTATGGACAAAAGGTTACTAGAGATAACCCATCTCCTAGAGCTTACTACAAGTGCTCTTTTGCTCCAAGCTGTCCTGTTAAGAAAAAGGTGAGCCAAAACTTTCACTTTCTTCCTTGTTACAAACTCATAAATAAGAAATTTTAATTTGTTTCAATCACTCATCAATTCTCTGAACTTCAGGTGCAAAGAAATGCAGAAAATCCATCTGTTTTAGTAGCCACCTATGAAGGAGAGCACAATCATCTTCACCCTTTGCAAACTGAGTTGACGTTGAGCATGAAAGAAGTTATAAATCCTGGTTGCAGTTCAACCTCAGTCATCTCTTCAAGCCCCACATCCATTCTTGATTGTATTGAACTGGATTGTGCAATACTGAAGAACAAGTCCGTCCTAGATAAAGACAAACCAATCACTACAACTGGTTGTGCTCGACCAAATGGCTTCAACTTCTTTGACAATTGGGAGAATCGATTTTGATGTAGTAATTTTTTTTTTCTTGGTTTTTTGTGGGTTTATGTGTTGTATTTTACCCTTGACAAATATTTGTTTAGATATTTTGTTATTCTGTTAAATACGAATGTGTGTATTGTCATTAAAAAAGAAAAAGAAAAATAATAGAGAGTGAAAATGGAAAATAATAGGCACATGAAAGTAGGGAAAAAATGGTCACAAAATATATGAGAAATGAGAAGCAAAGAAATGTTGGAGAATTGAATAAGAAACTTGTGTTGGAAAAAATTTATCCACACCAAATGAGCAGATGAGAACAGCAACATCAACGTCAGTGTGGTTTCTTATCACTTACAACAACAAACACGAGTCCTAGTTGGCTGGGGTGGTGTTCACACTCTTCAAAAATTCCTGGTGCTACTCAAGAAGTCTTGCCGGTGTGAATACAATAAGCTTGTTGATTAAATGTGAGTGTGCCAGAACTTGTGAACCTAGTTCAAGTTATAAGAATTGTTGAACACTTCTGACTTATAACATAGAGAAATGCCTGTGTGTGGTTAAGAGGAAGCGCCACTGATTTAGATCTTACTCCAATGAAGAAGACTTTTAACAAATTTATAGGTGCCAAAGATAATTAAACTAAAATCGGTACTTGCATTGATTGAGAATGAAGTAAGATTGATAATCTAAGATAACTAAGCTGTGAAATTAAAGAAACTAAGCTATGAAGCTATGGTGCTAAGCTAAGATAAATAGGCTATGAAAACAAGATGAATTCAAAGACTCTTGGTCAAGTTGATTGGTGCTGGACCTTCTCAAGTGTTGCACTTGGAGCCCTTTATATAGTGTTGCGGAAGCCCACAATTCTGCTGAACTGCCAAGTACATGGCAGCTTTTCCTACTGACATCTGTCCTTCATCCTTAATCTCCTAAAACTAGAAAATGGTTTTGACCTCCAATGGCTAAGGGCAATCCTTGTACCTTTGACTTGGTCCACCAAGCTCTGGAAAGCCGCCATGTGTCCCTCTAGATTTGAATTTGAATTGACTTTGCTTGATTTAGGGAAAAGGCTCCTTTGTTGTTGCATAGAATCCTCTTCTTTGTGATGCATATTTATCCTTAAGGAATTCAAAAACCAATCTTTCCTTACTTGGAAAACTAACCCCTTGACTGTAGTATGCATTGATCCTTCATATCTTCACCAATTGCCACGTGTCCATCAAAAATCCACTTGCCTTGATTTTGGAAAACAATGGTTCTACTTTTGTAGCCTTATTGTTGACATGTGGTATCTTCAAATCTTGTATAAGCCTCATCATTAGCAATTTCTTTAACAATCATCTTAAAGATATGGCACCAAAATAGGAGATAAGACACTTAAGCTTTGTTTGGGGTGTACTAATAAGTACACACTTTTTATTTTTTTATATTTTTTTCATCACATCACCTTTCTACTTTTTTGCACATCTTTTCGTAAAAAAATCAAAAAGTACATTTATTTAGATCATTCTAAACCAAGCCTTAAATAGAGGATAAGCCTCAACAACCTCCTAATTCTTAGGAACGGTTAAGGCTTGCCTCATCCACCAAATCTAAATTATTTTATTTAATTAATTAATCAATCAATTTCCTTCGTTAATTAATAAAATAAAATAAAATAAAATCCTTTGCTTAGCTGCCATTTATCTTTTGTGGGTCCCAAAGAATCTTTAACTCTTCATCATCTACCGACATGTGAAATAAAAAATTGAGGAAATTGCCACGTAGCAATTTTTGTCAAAAATGGTACAAACAATACCTCTTTCAAGTACATTCTTAGTTCTGTCAAGGAATTAAAATGATGTACTTGAATGCTAACATCCATTTTTTCTCTTGATTTGAGTCCCAATAATAATGATTCTCCTTAATGTGCTGGACCAAAATCCCTTGCGAAATAGAGCCTTGAAGATCAGAGTGTGAGAAACGAGCTGACGACCATCATTACACTTGTCATTAGTATGATGGTGTCCCTTCACCCTTTAGGATTGACAGCGTCTATCAATGGCAGGACTGATGACGTCTTTACAATAGTGGAAGTGACTTGGACTCCTTAATGGAGTGATTAGATGAGCATCTTCAGGTCAAATTCACAAAATTTCAATATTACCACAAAAAATTGGTGCCACCTTCATTGAGAAGTTAATCCATCTAGCCCTAAGGCTTATAAATAGCCTCAACTGCCTCCTTGATTTCATTTTATACCTCTTCTTCATTTTGCCAAGAATTCCCTCTGTTTTTTTTGCTCCCATGGCTTCCAACAAAGCTGCAAACTTTGAGAAGGAACTAAAATTCATTGGGCCTAAGATTGATGCCCTTATTAACGATAAGAAACCTTCAATCTATTCTGAATATTTGATCGATCTCCCCAATTTCATCGGTTCATATTTGAAATGCAAGCTAAGGCTTGGTCTTGCTTTTGCTGCTAGCTTTCCTACCTATCTTAATTAGTATTACCCATGCCTTGAGAAGAAACTACCATTTTAACACTCTGTTTCTGCCGACTGGAGTCACTATAAGCTGTCCTCACCTATCAAGGTTTGGCATTCTCCCAAACATGAGTACGTCGCTTGGCTGGATTGTGTTGCTACTGCTAAAGGCCATGTTTGGAAAGAAATAGGAAACTATGATGCAATCATGTTGAGCCGAGGTAATATTTGACTTGACAAAGCCCTGTTCTTTTCTATTTCCCACTTCTGGTCCATCTCTACCAACTCATTTCATCTAAAGACTGTTATGATGGCCCTACCTTGCAGGATACTGCCTTTTTAGCCAATTTTTGCCTCCATGGAGATGAAGTAAACACTCTCATTGTCTGCAAGGATATTGCCTATGTTTATCCTAACAAGAAACTGCTAACTTACTCCTTTTTCCTACTTGCTGTTCAGTCCCAGAACAAGCCAAAGCCCTCTCTCTGGGCAGAGAACTTGCTCTTGGTACACTAGTTATGGCTCACCTTTATAGAGAGATGATGGAGTTGGTTTCTTCATGCTTGATTAACGGTTCTGGACCGTTCTGACTTATGCAACTCTGGGTCTGGGCTTATTTTCTAGAGTTTGCTCCATCCATTCTTGCCACGTGCTACAATGTGACTGTTTTGTCTTCCGATTCTTAGAGGCCTACTCTAATGCCCATGTGTTTGATAAATGTTTCACTTTCTTTTATAGAAAGCTAATATCTCGTGATGCCTTTGCTCTCCTTCCTTTCACACGTGATTATGTCCCTTCTTGGCTCAGCATTTCTCCATCCAAAGCCACTGGTCAGAAAGATGAACAATTTGAAGTTTGGGCCAACTTCCTAATCTGAAGGGACCTTCCATTTGGCTTTAGCTTCACGCCAAATAGCAGTAAATGCAATGCATAAATATATAACGCCATGCAATTCGCCTGTCAATTTGGCATGTCTCAAATGATCCATGCCCCTCCATACTGGACTCAAAATGACACATTTGAAGGCAGACTTGTCATGAGCAATGTAGACATTGAAGGACTCAGCGCTATTTTTCCTACTCTAAAGCAGAACTTCCATTTCAAGGTTTTCGATGAAGCTTCTAATGCCACCATAGAATTTGATGTTTGGTAGGAAATGTACATTATAAACAAAACTTCCATTAATCTGAAGGCACTTCTGATTTGCATCTTCCTAGACCACTTTGCCAAGATTGAGGACTCCAAGGAGACAGTTGCCCCAAGTCCTGCCCCTTCTGGAGGACAGAAAAAATGAATTATTTCCTTCCTTGATCGTTTCAATTCAGTCCTTTGCTTTGAGGAATTCTTCAAGTATAAATGGAACCCTTTGAAATTTGAAGAGATGGAAAAAATTTGGGAGGAAAAATTAACTGAAATTTCTAACAAATAGAGAGATAAGGCAAAACTGCATTCCTTAAAACTTATCAAACCTTAGGTACCAAAACTCCAAAACTCCTACCTTAAAAACTTTCCTAAAACCTTATCGCAGAAACATTCCTCACTTCCCTGATACATTTCCCCCTTGCTTGATACATCCTCTGTTTTTGCTGACACTCTTCGTGAGGAAGGAATCAATGCCTTCCTTTTTGAAAAGGAGAAAATAACTGTTGCAAAGACCAATGTTCATTCCTAAGAAGTTGATGATGCTATTAGATGAAGAATAATCATAATAGTTCCTATCCCCAATGCAGGTCAGCTTCCTCTCTTTCTGGTAACTTATTTATCTTTCTACTTGATTCTGACAATTTCTACCCTCTGGCCTTGCAAGAATTCACCATCATTTTCTAGCAAAGGAAGATCTCAACTTTTATTAATGAATTGAACTTTTGTCTCTAGGCAGGTGCCACTCCACCAGCCAAAAGAACCAGGTCAAATTACAAGGCATAAATTGTTGCTAGCCTTTTCAATTCTTCTTCCCTTAAGGTAAGAATTTTCTATCATTTCTGACTTCCTTTCTTTGTACTTCTACTGAGCCTTTATTCTTTATCCTAGAAATCTCATGAGATTGTGGTAACCAAAACAACCAAGGTTCCAACCAAAGAAACACTAACCCTAACCAAACGAAAGAGGTTCGAAATGATAGCTCGCAAAGGCCACACTCCTTTGGTGGATTCCTCCAATTTTGCCATAACGCAAGTAGAAGACAACCATCCTAAGATAATTTGTCTACCTTCTGTCAACAAAGTAAAACTTTTCACTTCACAACCAACTTCCTTCTTTAGTTTCTTTTTGGCCTCTTTCTTACTTCTGATCTTTCTGCACAGGAAAAGGCACAAGAAACCGCAACATGTCAAAGTGAAATTACTCATGCTTTCAAAGCACCAGAACTTGCTCCATCTATCCCAAAGCCAACAGTGGACTTGGATGTTTAATTTGAGGCTCTATCTCAAAAAATTACTCCAACTGCTTCTGGAGCCTCTGTCAGTGGAACTACCTCCTATAGCCAAGTCATGCCATCATCAAACAAAGTTGAGAATGCCAACAATGATCCGAAGTCTTTGCTAGCCTTGTCTTTGCCAGATGTTTTGCACCCAGGACAACTCCCAGTTCTAACTTTTGTTTTGAAGGTTCTAACTACCTCTGCACCCTTTGACTCCATCCTTCAACTAGCTCTTCAAGAATTTCAGCAGCAGATTCTTAAATTAA